TAAATAAATTTCAGTGTAACAATATAGTCTGTTGGAGAACAATGTACAATAAAGGAAAACAGAAGCAATTAGCTGTTTGAATGTCTTCTTTCCGTAAGATTTTTCAGCATATTCTTCTTCAAGAGAAAAGTTTTGATTTCCACATATAACTTCTTCTATTTGCGCAGTGTAACGTCATTTACATATTTACCAAGACTCGTTTTACGAGTTTGGGCTTCCTGTGCTCAAACTGGTTTTTTTTGTTTTGTTTTTTGTTTCATTTTTTTTAAAATTTGTTTCCTTTTTTTTTTTTGCATATAAAGTAGCCTCGATTCTGCGCACCTTACCCAGCATTCCACATTTGAAATCGTAAGGTTGTGAGGTTATAATGAGTTATCTTAATTTTTCGATTAACAGTAATAACACCTGATTACGAGAAAGGAAGGGCGTCGCAGAGGAGGAAAATTCATCTTTTCCTGATCATTTTCATGGTCTAGCTTTCTCTCTCATTCTTGATCAACTGACTCGCTCGACAGCAAGCTTGAAATTCGAGGTATTTATAAAGCATCAATGTAATTGTAATTCTGGGTTTTTTTAACAGATCTAGATCCTACATTAGGCATTCGTTTGGAACCATAATTTCAAGACTTAAATTAAAGGCCTTTGAATTTAACACTTTTGCATGGACCAGTTTTGAATGGTTTTGGTTCTTACTCGTGATATATTGAAGGACTGATGCAGATGCAGGTGCAACCTAAGTATTATCCAGTTTCTTATCATGAATTTTCTGTTTTAATTCCTTTACATGTGGTATATTGATATTATAGTGAAGAGAATTTTAAAACATGAGGCATAAATATGGAATGGATGAAAAATGCTTCAATGTACCTTAAATTAAATTTCAGTAGAAGAGCATAGTATGGGTGCACTATTTGATCCTTCTGAGCAGTTAAGGGAAGGAGTGTGGGCTTATTTTCTGCTCAGCATATGGCAATCAAGCCAAGGGTCCTATAGCACAAGGAAATCTGCTATTTGATTAGTTTGGCTGTATTATTTTTTGCCCTTGGGAATGGAGCTAAGGAGGGTTCTAACATGTTTTGTGTCTATGGAAGTGCTACCTTATAAATACCCTTCCTTTGTGAACTTTTCAATGATTTTCCCATGTGAACTTTGAATTTTCCATTTTTTTTTTCAATCACTTTGACCATTAAGGTGCAGGACACACAACAGAGAAAGGTTCCAAATTAAGTGTGTCCTTAAGAGAGGCACTGTGAGAGGACAGTATCTAGCCCAGGAACACAACGCATAGTCCCGGCCAGGTTTCGAACCCGGGCCTCTTGATCTGGAGTCCAGTGTACTGACCATTAGGCCACTACGCTTCTCCAGGCCACTATGCATCTTCAGGCTACCATGCTTCTTACATTTGTTTTATTTTATAAGATTCCACTTTTACCTTAGGTGGACTTGCAATACTGATAATAGTTGCAGTAATGATGTGATTCATAACAGAGTTAAAAAAAAATTTGAAAGAATGCTACAGTTAGCTACTAACTGTAACTATTAAAATCCAATAAATTTATTTGCTTATTGTGTTCAAATTACAAGAATAGTACATAAATGTAGTGAAAAAGAGGAGACGTGCACTTACAAGTCTTTACCCAGAGTGCCATTTGTAACATTTTCTTACTCTGGGAAACAATTAAAAAAAAACTGAAGGCAGACCAGTTAAATTCAATTGTAATCTAAAACTGAGTCAAAAGAAAGGCATATAATTGAATGGAGAAATTATTGATTTAATGCCTCAGAATTTCAACTTTGTGGAATATTTCATTGTTTCATGGTGGATAACTCAATGTGTAAGGTTAAGTAGCAAAACTATTTTGAACAGGATGAGTTATGAATTAGTCACATTAACCTTTTTTCTTTCTACTTCCTCCTGTTTGTAACTAGAAGTCATTCTTTTGCTTCCTTGCTACCCAATCACTGATCTTTTTTCTTTTTTTTTTTTTTTTTCCAGATATGCACAAGCTGTCTGGTACACCTGTAAAATTCTCTGTAAGTAGATGCAGTTAAGTGATACTGAACTATGATCTGACATATTCTTTATATGCAGATGTTGATATGTATAAGTATCATTTGCAGAGCTTTACATGAGTTGCTTAACTATGTACTTCCTTGTCCCACGCCGTCATGACGTGACGAAAAGCGTCTTTCTTTACCGAGCTCAAAACTTACCATCTCTCTTTATTCTATTTACAAACATGACGCTATCGACATTGCCGATCCTAACAGTATGCAGGACGGGTATCATGAACTTCGTAATAGACCTCGGTCACTGGAGAATCTGTAGTGGCAGAGCATCGGAGTGCGGAAACCGAAGGTCTGACGTTCGATTCCTCATAGGGACTCAGAATTTTTTCTTTGTCCCACGCTCGTGACAAGACGAAAAACATCTTTCTCTGTTTCTTTACCGAGCTCAAAACTTACCATCTCTCTTATTCTATTATGTACTGCTACTTGTAAATGTTACTGACCAATTGGAGTCAGGTACTTAACCAGGAAAATTTGGCCATAACAACCAGTTGGAAGTTGTTAAAATGATAAAAAAAAGGAACGAAAAACTGACCCAGCGTCCAATTAGTTTGGGACACATAAATTTTATTAGGCGAGTGAAAAAGAATTGAAATTATTGGCACTATTGTCGTTTTTTTTAGGTTGTTCCAGGAACTGATAGTATGGTCAGAAATGGCATCACGACAAACATCAGCGTCAGACATCAATGCATCACAGTGATGGCAAATTACGATAAGAAGAGCGTTGAGGTGTGTTAAAAAGAAACAACATTGACTGCTATTCTTATGAAATCTTGGACACAATTTGAGCGGGAAGAATCCACGAATCAAGAAAAATTTATTACATGAGTTATCGTCATTCGCTTCGTAAAAACAGGAGAAAAAACTGAAATGATTCAGATATTTATCGTTGGCAGGAAAAAAGGTCAATAGCACTGAGGTTACGAATCATTGCTTGAAAAGGCAGTAATAGGAGTCTTTCCTGAAATAGCGTCAATTTCTTCAAATGACTGAGAACAGTGGATCTATTTTCCTGTCAAGCGCTTTAAATGAGCAAATGAAGTTCAGTATCAATACCAAACTGTGTTTGTTCTTTGCTGTTTTGAAATAGGAGTCCTACCCATATCGGGGAAGTTAAGATCATAGGCACGAGTTTATCAGTGCGTAGAGTGTGCAGAAGAACCTCGTGAACCCTTGAACATTGCTGGCCAACGTTATGCCACGAAAATTTAAGTGATAAAATATTGGGATCCGAATGAACTTGACGTCCTCATGGACGAGGTTGCAGAATAGCGGGAAAAAATGGACTTTCCGTTTGTTTGATGCAGCACTGAAACGTAGTTGTAACAGTCCTTCCGCCTTTTTGCAGTAACTGACCGACCCCTCCAGCCTGAGAAATCAGACAGGGGTAGGGTGTCTCTCTCCAGCATAATATTAATTTCACTAAGAACGGAGCTTGAAACTGACTATTCAGGAATCAGATCGCATCTTATTTTTAAGAAGTTAACGATAAGTCAAATGACCTTTGATGAAAGATGTCCCATACGAAACAATAATTTAAAGTTATCAAAGCTTATCTTGAGAATATTTATTAAAAGTAATGGTTTCATCTGTCCTACCAAAATTCCAAATGGAGCAACAAAAATTATTGTCGGCGAGTTAAACGAAGTTGTCAGCGAGTTGACCGAAGTTGTCAGCGAGTTGACCGAAGTTGTCAGCGAGTTGACCAAAGTTGTCAGCGAGTTAACCGAAGTTGTCAGCGAGTTGACCGAAGTTGTCGGCGAGTTGACCAAAGTTGTCAGCGAGTTGACTGAGTTTGTCGGCGCGCTATCGTCGAGCTGGCCAGTAATGTCGGCGAGGTGACTTATGGTGTCGTCGAATTGACATGTAGCGAAGTGAGTGGTAACCATCAAACGCTTGAAGTTAGCTACCTTCAACTGCCTTCCGACCTTTTTGCACTTAACTTTTAACCTCTGTTTGAGAAAAATGCTTGGAGACTGTATTTGATTTTTATGTCGCTTATCATTTTAATGTTTGCTTGTTATCAGTCACGATAAGCGTTGATTAAAGCTCTGTTTTCCATAGGAACTCAGATTAGAAGATTATTTACTTCAGGGGCGCGTACAAAGACCCGAGGGTAGGTGTTGGGTTTATTGATTTCATCGATTTTTGTCGTGGCTGTTGCTTGGTTATGTAATATTTGTAATTTGTTTTTGAAAAGCCACCAGGTTTGAAAGCAAGACATATCTTTGTTTGGAACACAACGAAGCTCTGAAAGTTTACTGTCACACAGATAAATGCCTCATCTGCATTTATTGCCAGGTAAAATTGCTTACCTGCGTAGTGTCCTTCCAAGAAGTCAAAATCTTATACCGGCTAAGAAATTTCAGTTCTTCCCAACTCTTGGAAATCATGTAAAACTCATAGGAAATTCTCTCGTTTACTCATATCCTTGAATGATTGTCTGTGTAGCAGGCGTTTCTTTTAAGGGCGCTCCGACGCCTTTGAAGAAAAGGCATCGGAGCCGCGAAATGCACAAGTGGCACTCTCATTATTCACAGACTCTAACAAAACAGCCTGGTACGCCACTAGTGTGAGGCCTGGAATAGGCCATTTTACAGTTGTGTCCATAGTTGCCAAGCCTTTGACTTGGAGTGAGGTTGAAGGTGACCTCGTTGTGATAGAGACCAGTATCTAGTTAGCATGATAACAAAGTAATTTACATTTAAAAAACAGCGACGTTTGTATCATAACCAGGTTACCTTTACTCTTGTTCAAAGGCTTGGCAACCAAGCACGTAAATGACTATTGATTGACTAAGTTTTAAGTTTTGTCCACTCGGCGAGCTTGCCATGTTTCCACCCGTCCCTCTCCCTTGACCTGCTTCCTATACACTAAGAGTTGCTCCTGCCAAACACAGAGAAGTAGATCAGGGTATTTAGTGTTATCAACTAAGTTGAAAACGCAAATTGGCCGCCGTAAAGGCTGACGTCACGAGCGTTAACCCTTAGTCAGAGCGATTAGAGGAATTGTAGATTGTGTGTGGGTTTATATGTAGAAAATGGAGCTACGCTATTGGTGGGAGTATGGTGACAGGAAAACAAGAATAAATTAATTGAATGAAAAGCACTCGTTGATTCCGTGGGGATTAAGAGTGCCCATTTGGAAGATAAATTTTTGTTCTAGAGTTTTGCGGCTTTCCGAACTGCCTTGGTGTAGGGAAAGGCCGCAAACTGCCGTATGCTGTTTAGAATGATTAGGGTGATTAGGGAGATTTGATCAGAAAAATAGAGTTCACCTCTTTCTAAAAAAAAGAATTCACATTTGAAAACATTCGATCAGCAGGATGGTGATCTACAAGTAGTTACGTTCAGTCCTTTAGCTTTCATTTGGTTCTGTACATCTAGTTTAGAATGTTCCTGTGGGAAACTCTGAGTTACATGCATGCAAATCAGCTCAATTTTGTTGTTATTTTCTATTAGTTCTATGGCAGTCATGTGGGTCACGAATGCGAGCTTGTCACTGACATTGCCACCACGATACGTGGGGATCTAAGCAGCGTATCTAAAAAATTGGGCGATCACTGTGAATTGGTCAAGAAGTCAAGAGAAAAAGTGAATAACACAAAGAACTCTGTACTGGCTACTCAAATATACCTGCAAGACAGGATCGGAAAACACATGGCATTGTTACATGCTTACATGAGTAAGGGAGAGACGTCGCTGAGGGATGCTGTAAACGATAAAACGAACCAGAAGATAATGTTTTTGAATAATCAAGAGAGGTTTGTCTCGTATAGACCTCTTTTGTAATGTCGGGCTTGATTATTATCAGTACTTTCATGTGCATGCAATTAAGCCTTCTTGGCCTCGCTTCACTGAGGCTTGCAATCGAGGACTTAAGGACTTTCAAAGCGATGGAAACACAAGAGGTCAAATCGCGCTCTTCAGGTCGCTTGCCTTTGATTAATTTGAGTTCCAATCAGCTTCCTGTAATATTTCCCATTTTTAACGATTGGCCGCTAAAATGACTTTGTTTTAAACACTCAATAAAAGCCACTCCATTTTACTTCAGGTATGAGCTTAACAGTAACAGCACGAACTAAGGACGCGATTTCTGGGAACTCCAGCGTAATTTGTTTTGTGTTTTTTGTTTAGGGCCATGTCAGGTATTGTGGACAAATGTGACTTAGCGCTTTTTTTGATCGAGGAGTGTCAAAAGAATGACAGTGCGTTGGTTGACGAGAAGCCCAACATAGATAGTCTCATCGATGAGGTCTCCGCTTTCATGGAGAAGTGTGAGCTGGAGCCGGCGGAAACAGACAATCTGACATGTTACTTTGAGTATAATCTTTTAGATTTGCTTAAAACACAAATCGGTGGAGTAAAGATTCTAAAGCCAGGCCAAAAAGGTTGGTTTAGTTAATGATGTTTTAAAAGTCGTAGATAATTAAAAATGTCAAAACTGCGTGTGATGAAAGCACGCGTCAAGAAAGTCTTCTTTTTTTGCTTAATTCGATATGGCAGTGCGATATGTCTACAAGAGTGAAATTTATCTATGTTTTGTTTCCAGGGAGCTCTATTTACAACTTCAACGAGCATGAGATGTGGGAGGAAGGGAAAACCAAGGATGCGGAGGTTCAAACAGAGGATCCACAGGAAAGCACAACTCATCATACACCGCAAGATCTGGTGGAAACTGCTGACTCTGGCTTGACGGCGCAAGTAAGGGACAACAGTCCTTCAGCCCTAGTGGATCCAGGTGAGTCAGAAGTCTTCGGTCTGTTTGTTTAACGGATTGAATATGCATTTCATGTGAGCACGTTTGTAATTTTTTTTCTTGTTTTCAATATTCCACTTCTTAGATGTCAACGATAAAGATGATCTTGATTGCAACGGTGACGAGAAAGTTAATGACGATGAGAATGAAGTTGGACTTGAGGGAGGGGTGGGAGGCGAATCTTCAGTCCTTGTTGATCCTAACCTGCAGATATCAACAGATTCACAAAGCTCTGGAGAAGTAATAACTGGATTACTGGATGAGATGCTTAGAAAAGTGGACGGAATCGCAGGTCAGTTAATTTTAACTCCATTCTCTTCATGAAGAATCATCTTTTTTTTTTTGTATAAGTAGATAAAATTTCCATTTGATAAAGAAGATAAAAAGGAGTCACTATTGATCCTTACTGCAATATTAATTTAGAATCTATCTAACACAAGCGCGCTACGTTTTCAGTAATGTGCCTACGAGTGGCTGCTAAAATAATGATTACTAGTGTGCACATATACTTGTGGACTAATGGATCGAGTTATTAATGGGGTGAGCTATCCTATAACATAAGAAATTTAACCAACCCTCGCCTTTCTCAATTACTTTTGAGTTTATATTATGGGGTGTATATTCACATTGATTTTTTTTCAGTTGCAGATGGTGACGATGGCAGTGACAATGTCAAACAAGAGATCGAGTCTGACGATTAAACATTGAACTTGGATCAAGTCCCCAACGAATTGAACGTCCACTGTCTCCGATATAGTATCGCTGTTTTTCTAGACTTATCACGTGAAGGGAGCGTAAAACAAGTAGATTACTTGTATTCTGGTTTTTTCTTTTACGGTCCCTCGAGCATGGTGGGATAGGAAACGCAAAATTAATGTTTGGACGGGAAGAGACTAGGAACACAAGTCGGATATGCGCAAGCGGATCAATTTTGGCCAGCCGTGCGCCAAAATCCAAGCAAGATCAACATTTTCAAAACGCAAGAAACAATCTCTGTCATGCAAAAAAGGCAAAAAAATTGGAACATTCATAGAATCTGTGAGAGGAAAATTAAGTAGGGAAAAGACAATTTGAGACTTCTCGAACGATCCGCAGTTACACAGTATAACAAATGATGCTAATAGTTTCTCTTTAAATTTTTAGTGTCTGTCTATGTAATTAGCCATTATGCCTTGACTTGCAAATATATATCTACTCACAGTAAAACGGTATTTTGTAGATTTGTATGATGCATTGAATTAAAGGAAATAGCTTTAAACAGTTACGGATCGCCTGTGTAGCTCGTTGATTTGCATGTTTTGTTTTGTTTTGTTTTGTTTTGTTTTGTTTTTTTCTGTTTTGTTTGTTTGTTTTTGCGCTGAGTGATGAGCGGCGAACTATCTTCCGTCCCACGCCTCTCACGGCTTCGGCGCTCATTCCTTTAGCGCGAAATTTGCTACCTTCGTAAGTTAGGTTCTGGCGGGTGCCTGATGTTTATTGTTCCAGTTCTAGGACCTTTCGTCAAGTTTGCGCGAAGATGATATATTTAAGCGAATTAGGGAAGCGTTTAAGTAGTATCAAGAACTGTGCAAAATTGGTTTGATCTGGCGTTCCTTGAGAGAAATCAAAACATGTTCTGCGATGGTTATTGGGCCCGGGCTCTTGATGATTAGTTACAATCAGTCGGAACTGACTGGCCAAATAAGTCGGGTTAAACTTGACTGGGCTTTTTTCATCTTTCAGTCTTCAATTCAAACTTTGTGTACAAAGAGTAATAAAGAACAACTATTTCTGAACTTACAAGGTCCTAACAGGAACACCAAACAAACTTTTCTTAGGTCGTAACGGGGAGAGCTTTTGTGACAGCGTCTTCGGTACACTGATAAGAGTAGATGTTGTTCCAATCTCCTTCAGCGTTACTGTGAGGGCATGGAATTTATATTTTAATCAGTGTAACGAAAACTTTGTCACAAGGGCTATCTCTAAAGGCCTCCAGAGTTTCATCAGAGACACCAGAAAGTCAGTCACACCTGAGGCTAGGTCGCAGAGCACCTCACTTAGGAACTTCCGAAAGACTGGGGGTGAGCTGCCACCAGAATTCCGCGGGAATTTCGCGTCTCGCAGCAGACTTTAAAACATGGCCGATGTCATGGCCGTCGGCAAAGTGTTTAAGACCTTTAGAGGCGACGTGATATTCTTTTCTCTTTTAAATATGGGCAGCAACGATGAAAACTGTATCGAAGTTCAAATCTTTGGCTTTTCTAAATCCTCTAGATCCTTCACAAGGACTGCAAAGCAACTGCTACCCCTCTGAATATTAGGACACGAACTGGAACTCGTTTCTGCAAAATGTTTGATGAACTCAACTACAGGAATGTACCAGCCTTTTATTTTGCTACGCCAGATTGGAATGAAGCATTCCAGCACACAGGAGCTGCATGTATTACTTCTAGAAGACTATGATTCGGTTATTCTGCGAGGCAGTTTTGAAATAAGTCACGTCTCACCAACACAGAATATTGAATTTTATTTTTGTGATGGCCCCACTGTTTGTTGGAATTTTTAAGGGGTTATGTACTTTGCATGCTATGATGCCGTTTGAGAAGTTTACAATTGATTCTGTAACAGTTGATAACTCTATGAATGAAAGATCAAGTGAGGAATTTACTGTCTTCTGGTGTGGATTATTAAGGGGCCATGTTGTTTCCATGGGAGTAAAATCAGAAATGACAGATGATACCAGCACCTTAAAAAGATGGATATGTGTCAATCATACTCATAAAGATGTTCAAGAAGTCTCATTGGTTCCAAATCTGTATGTTCCCATAGCAACATGCTGCCATGTAAGAGAACCCTTAAATGTAGGGGAATTTGGGGGTAATTCTGCATATGATAATGTGAATGTGTATTTAGCAACAAACAGAGGACAGCTCCTAAGCTTTGTGAATGGAAGGCTCAGAACCTACTGGCAAAGACCCTTGCAGAATGTGGATTCTGGAGGTAACAAATATACTTTTGCAGTAAATGTTTTGACCTTATTTTGAAATAATGTTTGATCATGTACTCTGTTTGTCTGGCAGAGGGAAGTCTGATGGGGAATTTTGTTGGTCTTAGCGACTAATGTTTCAGCAACCTTATTGGAAATTATCATTAGACTTGTTGAAGAGTTATTGTCAGTTGAGAGGGGTTTTTTAAACCTCAGTCACTGCAGCCAACAACATGCTCAACATTTGAGCTTTTTTAATGAGTGGTCGGTTTGCTGTTCTTTACTTCAGTGTGTCACAGATTACCTTCCTGACCCAGACTCACAGAAGCTGCAATGTAGGTATCAAAAAAAAATGGATGGGAGTCTTTGATACCTATAGCTGCCTGTGATCAGAGTGAATTTCCCTTGTAATTTTTCACACTGAAATACAGTGAAAAAGAATACTGTGCAGAATAAATCAAGTCTTTTATCATACCATCTGATTCCAAAGAGCCAATCAAGTTTGTTAAGCTCCATGTACTTGGGTTAGTCTCTTTACAGAGTTTTTGTACTTGTTTTTGGTACCTCTAGTTCATTATTATAAAATCATTTTGCTTTTGATATTAGGCGAGTTCTTTCAGTATGAGATTGTAAACACTCATTGAGATAGGCAAACACAAATTGAACAAGGTATAATAAACCAAGAGGGAATAAGTTTAGGATAAAGTATAAACAGATTTCAAATTACAAACCTGAAAAAATTCAGGCTTAATCTTCTAGTGCATAGACAACAGTAAAGGTGCTCTGAGACACAAACCCAAGTTGTATAAGGAATATGGCTGCAGAAAAAATGCACTAAGTAATCCTTTTAATCCTGTAAACACATTTTGAAAAGAAGTTGATCAACAGGTCTGTTACTTCCCTATCTTTGCATACAGGTGATGTAGTTTCCCTGACAAGTGGAAGAAGTGGAGTAAATACTGATACAACAAATTCAGAAGGTATTTCTTTATCTTACTTCATGTGTTCCCAATGACTAGATGGTTAGTTCTACCTATCACATATGTGAGTTATATTTTTGCAACACCTCTATTTGCTTCTGGATTGGTTACTATTTAGATATGAGGAGATCCAGGACAAATTGAGAGAGCCCATGGTTGGAGTTTCTTGAC